CCCCGCCGCGGCCCTCTCCCACAACCATGTCGCCACTGGCGGCCTGAGAAGCCCCCCGCCCCACCCCGGCCCGGTCAGTGCGAGGGAGCCCTTCGGTGCTCGCCCGAACAGCCTTGCCAGGGCTCAGCTGCCGAGCGTGAGCTAGCCTCCAGGCGGGGCTCTTCGACCCGGGCCTCCGCAGCGACCCCCGCCCTCCCTGGTAGGGCCTCCCCCTGTCACTCGGAGGGCTGCGAGGGGCAGGGAGCCAGGCCCAACCCTCTGCCCCCTGCAGGGCCCTGCCCGGCGCCCGCCCCTTAGGGGCTGGGTCTCCCCCCAACTCACCCTCCCTCTTCCTCGACGGGCGGGGTCTGCTCTGAGCCTGCGCCGCTAGTGCAGCCGAGTCTGCCTCGTAGAGGCGGAGCCAGCACGCCCAGGCCACGCCCAGACCACGCCCCCACGCGCCGCCGACTGTTTTCTTACAAACTCGCCACACTGTAGCACAGCCGCCTTGCCCGGCGGGCGACCCCACGGCGCCACGCCTATTCGGCCCGCACAGCCAATGACTGCGCGTCACCGGGGAGGTTTCAGGTTCCAGAAGGGGCGGTGCCTTTCCTGATTGGTCAGCGCACAACGACCGGTGGCCCTCCGGCAATGGCGGGGGTTTCGGTTTTCAAACTTGCAGGGCGGGCGGGAAAGGCGGCAGATTTAACTGACCCAGGGGAGAAAGGTCAAGAGCGGCGTTGCGCGGGCTGCTCCGGGACCTCAGCGCCTCCGGAGGGAGGGAAACTAGGGTTGGGGCTGCCCAGTAGGGTTCCACCGTTCGGGCATGCGATAAGCATTTATTAGCTTTAACTGGGCATACAGCGCTTTATTTCATTCATTCATTCATTTACTGTGTGCGGGGACCGTTCTGAGCTCTGGGCAGCACACATTCAAGCAACTAAATCATTTTAGCTAGCATTAAGCACCGGGATGAAAACAGATCAGGGAAACGGGAGTGAGTGAGGATGAAATCGTGCTTCCTGGCTGGGAGGGAGGCGAATCTGCCATGTGGGCTCGCATGGAGAGGGGTGCAGAGACCTTCATTCAGGGTTTACTGCGCACCTCCTGGAGGCGCCCGACTGGAGTCAGGCGGCCCCTGCTGCAGGAAGCCTACAGTCAAGGCAGGCCGAAGACAATAGTTAAATCTTTGCAGAAAGCTAGAGAGCCTATAAACCAGGAAAATTGATAGTACCTTAGGAAAAGGAGGCTGTTAAAATAGGGAGGACCTCGCCTGCTTGAAGAGGTGACCTTTGATTTGAAACCAGAGATGGAGGGAGGGAAGGAAAAGCATGCCAGATGAAGGGCACTGCAGATGCAAAGGCCCTGCGGTGAGAGTGTGCTGGTGTGGTTCAGAAAGGGACAGTGCAAGGTGAAGGCAGGCCAGCCGGGAGTGGGGACCACGTGCAGACCGACAGTGGGCTGCGGTGAACACTTGACTTGTACTTTTATCAAATGGAACCAGAGAGGAGGGTTCCAAGAGGAGGAGCCTTGATCTGACTTAGAAATTAGCAGTTTCCGGCTGGAAGATGGGGTGATAGTTAAAGGTGCTAGACTCCCATATGGCTGACCATGGTTCAAGCCCCGGTCCTGGTGGCTTGCTTTCTTTCTCTCTGTTTCTCTTTTTCTGATCAAACTGCAAAATAATAATAATAAATAAATAAAATTTAAACAAAATAATTCTTAGGGAAAAAAAAAAAGTTAGCAGTTTCTCCCTCTGGCTCCTATGATGAAACAGACTACTGGGGACTTAAAGGCAGAAACAGAGGGACTGGAGTGGGAGCAAACCCCCTGGCCCAGTGAGCGATGAAAGGAACCAAGGAATGGTTATGTACCGTGTGCCCCCAGGGCTGTCCTTCAGGGCTGTCCCTGGCATCCCCAGTTCCCAGCCAAGACTCAAATGCACAGTGGCTAGATTCATCTTTATTTTTTTAATACAATTTTATTTATTATTATCATTATTATTTTAATTCATCAGAGAGAGACAAACAGAAAGGGAAAGTCAGAAAGCAAGCCACCATGTCCGAGAATCGAACCACGGCCAACCATGTGGGAGTCCAACACCTTAACCACCATGCCATCTGCCGGCCCCTAGATTCATCTTTTTAGTGACACCCTAAAGCACAGAGTGGGCCAGTCGGGCCTCTGGACTTAGCAGCTTTGTAAGAGGGGCCCCCACACCCAGTAAGGCAGATCACTGCAAGAAGGCACATATGAGGGGGGGGCTGCAAGCCCCTCTTCTGTTTTCTTCATATAAATCCCAGGAGAGGAGGCAGTTCCAGGGGTGAGGGAGGTAGGGAGACCGTTTCTCCCAGACAAATGGGTAGAGGAGTGGCGTGGAGGGGCCAGGAGGTAGGAACTGAGGAAGAGACTGCTATGCCAGGGGCCAGTCCCCCCCACACCCGCACACACACTCGCTCCAGCTTCCCGCCCTCTCTCTACAATCTGCAGCAGGGGCCCTTGGAGATGAAGGCCCCAGGTTCAAGTCCCCACCTTCTCCCTTCTAGCTGGTTCGAAGTTGGTAATCTGCAGGAAAACAGTGTGAGAGGCCATATTAGAAGTAAGGACCCAGGAAGGCGGGACAGAGTTCCCCCAAACCAGTACCTGCCCCCCGCCCTGCTTGTGAGCAGCCTCCAGAGTATTTAGCAAAGCTGAGGATGGGGTGAAACACAGGGGCTATAACCATAGCAACGAGCCTGTTTCCAGGCATCACAGGTTGCTTTATTTTATTTTTAAGAGGTTTGTGCCTTGGGGGACCAGCAGGTGGCATGGTGGTTAAGGCACTGGACACTCCCACGTAGCTAACCACAGTTCGAGTCCCAGACCTGGTGGCTTGCTGTCTCATTCCCCCAACTCCTTTCTCTGTGTCTCTCTCTGGTCAAATTTTAAAAATAAGTGAATTGATAAATAAAATTAAATATTTTTTAAAAAAAGAAGGTTTGTGCCTCTCCTGCACTCACAGGAGAGAGAGAGGCAGTGAGAGGGAAAGCGAGAAATCACCCCCCGGGGGGGATGGCCACACCTCAATCCCGTCTCCTCCATTCTCATCCCAGGTTCTCGGGCACACATGCACACGTGCCCGACATGATTTCCAAGCCACTGGGTCCGGGACTAGAACCACGGTCAGCCATGTGGGAGCTCAGAGACATAAGCACTATGCCATCTGCTGGACGCCAGAGTTGCTATTTGTACAGCCCCCTGTGGGCACCTGACGCCCTCCTCAGACCTGGCAGCTGCCCCCACGGTAAAGACATGCAAACAGAGCCTGGGGTGACGAGACTGGGGGGCAGTTCCAGAAGGTGAGGCTGCCTTACCGCCGCTCTGAGTGATATAGCGAACCCACGGCAGGGCCTGGTAACCGCTTTTCTCAATGATCTTCATGTAGCGGACCTGGAAAGGAATGAAAAGAGGTGGCGGGAACCAGCAGTTAGCGTAATGGCTATGTCGCTGGACTCCCATGTGGTCGACCGCGGTTCGCGTCTCGGACCTGGTGGCTTAAATCTCACGCCAGGCGCGTGTGCGTGCATGCCCAAGATCCCGAGAGGAGAATGGAGGAGAAGGGTCTGCGGCGTGACCATCCCCCCTGGGGGGTGATTTCTCGCTTTCTGTCTCTATGTCTCTCTGTCTGTCTGGCGAGCGCACGCACCCTATGGCGAAAACCTCTCCAAAAAAAAAAAAAGAAAAGAAAAGAGGTGGCCCTGGCTTAGGGGAAGAGGTGGCCCGGGCCGTGAGGATATGGGTGACCTGAGCTTAAGAGAAAATATGGGGGAAGAGGGGTCCTTCAGAAAGCTAATGGAAAATGCATAGTATTTTTAAAACTGGGGGAGAAGGGATTATAGTGTGGCCATCCTCCTTGGGGGGTGATTTCTCACTTTCTGTCTCTCTGTTCTATCTCTGTCTTTCGAGTGCATGCACCCAATAGCAAAAACTTCTCAAAAAAAAAAATAATAATAATAAAGAAATAAGAAATAAAAAACTGGGGCTCACAAGTGGCATGGTGGTTAAGGTGTTGGATTCTCACATGGCTGACAGTGGTTCAAGTCCTGGACCTGGCTGCTTGCTTTCTCATTTCCCCTTTCTCTGTCTCTGTCTTGTCGAATTAAAAAATAATAATAATAACAACAAATGGAATTAAACAAGTACATTATTTCTAAAAACTGCATGGATTTCAAAAATGTTTTGTAGCAAAATAAAGCCATACTTTCTTTTCTTTTTAAATTTGCTATAGGGTGCTTGTGTTTGCTGGAGAGAGACAGAGAAACAGAGAAAGTGAGAAATCACCCCCCAGGGGGGATGGCCGCACCATAATCCCTTCTCCTCCATTCTCCTCTCAGGATCTTGGGCACGCACGCACATGCACCCGGCATGAGTTTAAGCCACCGGGTCTAGGACGTGAACCGCGGTCGACTACGTGGGAGTCCAGCAACATAGTCATTACGTTAACTGCTGGTCCCTCAATTTTATTCATTCATACATTTATTTTAATTTGACCAGAGAGAGACAAACACAGAGAGAGAGAGAGAGAGAGAGAGAAAGCAAGCAGAGGGAAAGTAGGAAAGCAAGCCACCAGATCTGGGATTCGAACCCGTGGTCGGCCAGGGGGGAATATCCAGCGCCTCAACCACCACGCCACCTGCTGGTCCCTGTACTTTTTTTTTAAAAAAGAATTATTTATTTATTTTTATTATTATTTTTTAAAGAATTATTTTATTGCATTTTATTTCTTTTGATTTGTGCAAAGAGGGACAGAGAGAGACAGAGAGTGAGAAAGAGAGGGAACGTGAGAAAGCAAGCCACCAAGTCCGGGACTCGAATCATGCCCATACATGTGGGAGTCCAGCGCCGTAACCACCACACCACAGGCCGGCCCCTGTTATTATTACTATTCTTTTAATTTGACCAGAGAGACAGAGAAAGAGAGAGGGACAGTGAGAAAGCAATCCTCCAGGGCTAGGATTTGAATGGCAGGCAGCCAAGAGGGAGTCTGGCACCCAAATCACCCTCTGGCCCCTGAAGTTATCCTTTTATTTTTAAAAAAGGATTTATTTATTTATTTAATTCAGTTTTTGTTGTTGTTGTTTGTTTGTTTGTTTTGATTTGTTTTGCTTTTAATTTGACTAGACAGACAGAGAGAAAGAAAGGAAAACCGAGAAAGCAAGCCACCAGGTCCAGGACTCGAACCACAGTCGGCCGTGTGGGAATCCAGCCCCTTTAAACACCACCTCACTTGCCACCCCCCGCCAAAGTTGTACTTTTTTTTTTTTTTTTTTTTTCCAGAGAGATTGGAACTGTTTATTATGCTGGTGGGCACAGAGGAGTTAACACTCTAAATCTCTGGCCCAAAGTTGTACTTTTTAAGAGAAAAGGGTGACACAGACCAAGTGAGAGGTGGAGAGTGAGGGACCCCAAGTGACTTGAGCCAAGGGACAAGAGAGAAGGAAGCCCAAAAGTCAAGAGAGGAGCCTTTCTTACCTGGATGCCAGAGACAGTGAAATAGGGGATCTCGAACTTGACCCCGATGGGGGGCCGGCCCTCCACCTCCTCCTTCTCCACGCTGGGGAGGCCAAAGTGGGCTCGCATCAGGTACTCCTTGCCCCCCTGAGGGCACATGGGGGTGTCAGACATGTTGGGAACCCCCGCTCACCCCAGACCGTCCTCACAACAGCTCCCAGAGGGTGTGCTGTCAACCCGTGTCACAGACGAGAAGGTAAAGTCTCCTGGCTGAGACTCAGGGGCTGTGCTGACTACCTAACCACTCGGGGGTTTCTGCTGACCATCTCCGGTCCCTGAACACCCTCCCCACGGCGATGGGCAGACCAGACCTTCCAGTAGCCCAAAGATGTAGGTGGGAACATTCCGCCTTGTTCTTTACTTTCTAAGAGATTTTTTTTGGCAATAGGGCACGTGTGCTCGCTGGAGAGAGAGAGATAGAGAAACAGAAAGCAAGAAATCACCCCCCCAGGGGGGATGGCCACACTGCAATCCCTTCTCCTCCATTCTCCTCTCGGGATCTGGGGCACGCACGCACATGCGCCTGGCATGAGTTTAAGCCACCGGGTCTGGGACTTGAACCACAGTCAACTACCTGGGAGTTCAGCGACATAGCCATGACGCCAGCTGCTGGTCCCTGACATCTTGCCTGGTTCATAGACAGTCAAACCGAGCCTCCATGGGGAAAATGAGTTTCCTAAGCCTGCCCAGCTCAGAAAGGTACAAGTGAGGATTTGAACCCAGGACTAGTTTCCTCATGATATTTGGGGGCAAGCAGCACTTCCACCTGCTCCCCTGTGAGGAGCCTCAATTTGCCTGTCTGTGAAGAACTGCCCTGGGGACCAGCAGATGCTGTAACAGCTATGTCGGTTGCTGGACTCCTATGTAGTCAATTGCGGTTCGAGTCCCGGACCCGGTGCCTTAAACTGATGTAGGGTGTGTGTGCGTGCGTGCCCAAGATCCCGAGAGGAGAATGGAGGAGAAGGGATTGCGGCATGGCCATCTCCCCTGGGGGGTGATTTCTCGCTTTCTGTCTCTCTGTCTCTCTCTATTCTCTGTCTGGTGAGCACATGCGCCCTATAGCAAAAACCTCTCCAAAAAAAAAAAGACTGCCCCGGACCTTTAACGTCCCAAAGGATAATCATATGCACGCACGCCTGGGTCTCTGATTTATTCTCGACTTTGTCCCCACGAGGCCTGGGCAGGTCAGTCACTCCCCTAGACCATGTTGGTCCCCACCAAGGTCCCCCCGTCCCCAGCACTCACCGGGAAGGATTTAATACTCCAAATAACGACGTTTCTCTCGGGCACGTACTTGGCGCTGCCCACGCTGGTCTTGAAGCGCGGGGAGTCGGCGTCACTGGGCACGGGCACCGCTATTTCCACGCCGTTGGCCACCGACTGCTTCTTAAACTGCCCCTTGGCCTGTGGGAGACAGGGACAGGGCATGGCAAAATTCCCTCTCGGGCCAGCTGGTGCCGTGGAGGTTAAGGTGGCCAGCTGTGAAGTTCGAGTCCCGGACCCGGTGGCTTAAACTCACGCCGGGCGCGTGTGCGTGCGTGCCCAAGATCCCGAGAGGAGAATGGCGGAGAAGGGATTGCGGCGTGGCCATGCCCCCTGGGGGGTGATTTCTCATTTTCCCTCTCTCTCTATCTCTCTCCATCAAGATCACACATCCCATAGCAAAAACTAAAAACGGGGGCCAGCAGGTGGTGAGGTGGCCAAACTGGTCAAGCTCTCTTTCTGGTCAAAGTAAAATAAAGTTAGTTAAGTAAAAATCTTAGATGTAGTTCAGAGGGATGGCCAGCAGATGGCATGATGGTTGCAGTGTTGGATTCCCACAGGGTCCACTGTTGCAAGTCCCAGACCTGAAGCTTGCTCTCTCACTTCCTCTCTCTCTTTCTCTCTGTCTCTCTCTCTGGTGGGGGGGGTCCATGCCCTATACCAAATTTTAGCAAATGTTAATAATGCTAAATAAAATTAGAAAACATAATTCTTTTCTTAATTATGTTATTTCAATTTATTTTATTGGTTTATTTTCATTTTACCAGACAGGTACAGAGAGAAAAAGAGAAAGTGAGAAAGCAAGCCGCCAGGTCCGGGACTCGAACCGCGGTCAGCCATGGGGAAATCCAGTACCCTTAACCACCAAGCCACCTGCCAGCCCAAATAATACTTTTTTAAAAGATTTATTATATTTAACTTTATTTATTTTAATTTGACGAGAAAGGGACAGAGGGAGGAAGAGAGAGAAGTGAAGAAAGCAAACTGCCAGGTCCGGGACTCGAACCACAGTCAGCCATATGGGAGCCCAGCACCCCCTACCACCACACCACCTGCCAGGCCCCAAACTAAATAAATAAATTCTAAGAAAAACCAAAAAACCCTTTCTATTAGAAAGCATGTGAGCTTGTCAGAAATGGGAAAAGAGGGTGGGAGGAAACACCCCCCAGAAAGGGGGTAGCCACACCACAATCCCTTCCCCTTCATTCATCCATCCTGTCCGATGCATACACACATATTCAATGCCCGTTCTGTTTTTCAAACGGACAGGCCTGGGATTTGAACTTCATGGTGAGCAGTGTGGGATCCAGCTCCCTTAACCACTGGGTAATGAAGCTGGCCCTGCTCGGGTCCATCTTATAGGCAGGACGACTGAGGGACAGACAAACAGTCCTGGTAACTGGTCAGATGAGGTTCGAACGGAGGCTGTATTCCCGACCACCCTGCGAGCACCTTGCAGCTGGGCGAATGACCGAGTGAGGATGGACGGGCTAGCTCTCGTGCTGTGTCACCTGGATCAAGCTTGCCTGCTTCTTTTATTTTTTTTTTTAAGATTCTTTTGCCATAGGGCATGTATGTTTACCAGAGAGAGACAATAAGAAATAGAAAGGAAGAAGTCGCCCCCCCCAAGCCCAGGAGGATGGCCATGCCGCCATCCCCTCCCTTCCATTATCCTCTAAGGCTTTTGGGCACACATGTACCTAATGTGTTTTTCAAGCCAGTGTGTCTGGGACTTGAACCGCAGTCAGTCTTGTGGGAATCTAGCACCTTAGCCACCAAGTTACCTGCTGTCTGCATATTTCACCTTTTGGAAACTGCCAGAGTCTGGGCCAGCAGGTGGCATGGAGGTGAAGGCAGGTGGATTCCACATGGCTGACCTTGGTTCAGGTCCCAGACCCGGCAGCTTCAAAATCACACTGGGCATGTGTGTGTGTGCCCAAAATCCCAGGGTGAGAATGGAGGAGATGGCCAACCCTTCTCGTTTTCTGTCTCTATGTCTTTCTCTGATGAGTGCACACACCCTCTTCAGTTAAAAGTAAGAAAGGGGAGGCTGGCAGGTGGTATGGTGGTTAAAGGCACTGGACTCCCACATGACTGACCATGGTTCAAGTCCCGGACCCAGCAGCTTGCTTTCTCACTTTCCTTCTCTCTCTGTGTCTCTCTGGTCAACTTCAAAAACATAAATAAATCGGGACCAGCAGTTAGCGTAATGGCTATGTCACTGAACTCCCATGTAGTTGACCGCAGTTCACATCCCGGATCCAGTGGCTTAAAACTCATGCCGGGTGCGTGTGTGTGCATGCCCAAGATCCCAAGAAGAGAATGGAGAAGGTGTTGTGGCATGGCCATACCCCTGGGGGGTGATTTCTCGTTTTCTGTCTGTCTCTCTCTGTCTGTCTGGCGAGCGCACGCACCCTAAAGCAAAAACCTCTCCCCCCATAAATAAATAAATAAATAAAATTATGACAATGAATAAAATTAGATCATTTCAAAAACGAACAAGTAAATAAAGATAATAAATATATAAATAATCTGCTTAAAAATAAAGTAAGGTGGTATGGCTGTAAAGGGCGTTGGACTTCTACATGGAAGTCCGTGGTTCGAATCCCGGGCCTGGCAGTTTGCTTTCTCACTTTCTCTCTCTCTCTCTCAATTTCTCTCTCTCTCAATTTTTCTATCTCTCTGTTGCTGTGTTCTTCTCTGGCCCAATTAAAATAAATAAATAAAAAGTAAAAAGTAAAAACTAATTATTTTTAAAAGAAAGTCAGTCCGTCAGTAAATAAATGTCCCTGGGGCCCACCTTGACCATGATCTCCACGCGGCTGTGGGAAAACTTCTCAATGACAGACTCGATCCAGATCAGCGGCTTGACCTGCAGACAGAGGGAGGGGAGGGAGGGCGGTGGTAGACACTCTGGGGCCCACTCACAGCCTCCCCACGCGGGACCGCGACCCTGTCACCTGGGTGCTGAGGCGGTAGGACATGAGCTCGAAGTCGCCGTCGGGCGGGATGAAGGAGATGGTCCGGTCGTTGTCGAAGCGCGAGAGCCGCACGCACTGGTGGAACTTCACGTCCTCCAGCTCCACCGACTTGTTCTTGCTGCCTGGAACTCGGAGGGGCGGGAGAGTGACCCCGGGCGTCCCCCAGGGCCCCACCCGCCTTCCCCTCCCGCCACTACCATCCTTCTCCCCACTTGTTTTTGGAGAGGTTTTTTTTTTTTTTTTTTTGCTATAGGGCGCGTGCGCTCACCAGACAGAGAGAGACAGAGAGATAGAAAGCAGGAAATCACCCCCCATGGGGGATGGCCACGCTGCAATCCCTTCTCCTCCATTCTCCTCTCGGGATCTTGGGCACACACGCACACGCGCCCAGCGTGAGTTTAAGCCACCAGGTCCGGGACTCGAACCGCGGTCGACTACGTGGGAGTCCAGCCACATAGCCATTACGCTAACTGCTGGTCCCTCCCCCATTTGTTTTAAAGAGAGATTTTTGCAAAGCTGGCAGGTGGCGTGGTGGGTGGTTAAAGGCGCTGGACTCCCACGTGGCTGACTATAGTTCGAATCCTGGACCTGGCAGGTTGCTTTCTGACTTTTCCCTTCTCTCCCTCTGGAAGAATGAATGCAGATAAACAAGTAGAAATGGATTTCAATTTCAACTTTCTGCACTTGCTAAATACCTTACATAAGAAGCCAGGAAAGTGTTTGGGAGGCCAGCAGATGGTTAAAGATGCTGGACTCCCACGTGGCTGACCGCAGTTTGAGTCTTGGATGGCAGCTTGCTTTCTCATTTTCTCTGTCTCTCTCTTTCTCTGGTCAAATTAAAACAAATAATAATAATAAAGTTAAATAATATCATTCTAAGAAAAAAAAAAAAACACTCCCACCAGACGTGTGTCCATGTGGGTCCAAAATCCAGAGAGGAGGATAGGTAAGGGATTGCAGGGTGGCCATCCGCCCTGGAGGGAGACTTCTTGCTGTCTCTTTCTGTATCTCTCTGGCGACAGCATGAGCCGTATAGCAAAAATCTCTCTTTAAAAAAAAAAGAAAAAAGTGGGGCCGGCAGGTTGCGTGTTCATTAAAGGTGCTGGACTCCCAGGTGGCGACACAATTCAAGTCCCGGATATGGTGGCCTGCTTTCTCACTTTCCTTCTCTCTCTTTCTCTGATCAAACTTGGAACTAAATAAATAAATGTTAAATAAAATCATTCTTTTTTTAAAAAAAGTAAATGCGCTCCATCGGCCACTGCAGTCCCAGTGATGACCAGCAGACGGTGCACGAGTGCTTATTTTAAGCAGGAATTAGCTGGATAATTAGATGGAGCAGGGTCTCCTGTCCCCTGTGCAATCCGAGGAAGGGTCCCCCAGGTTCTTAGGGCCAGTCGGACCAAAGAGCACGCGATCCTTGAGGCCAGCCCCTGTGCACTCCGAGGGAGTCCCCCAGACTCTTACGGCCAGTGAGCTCAAAGAGCACGCGGTCATTGAGGCCCAGCCGCAGCTCCGGCATCCCCGACAGAAACACCTTGAGTTTGATGGTGCCCACGATCTCGCTCAGCAGGACGCTCCCATTGGCGTTGACCTGGGGATGCAGAGGTCTGGGGGTCAAAGGCACAGGGCACCCCCTTTCCTGCTCCCAGGTAGTGGAGGGGGCGGGATGGAAGTGCAGGGGCTCACCAGCAGGTTGACAGACTCTATGACATCAATGAAAACCTCGTTCTTCTTGTACTTGAGACCCTCGGAGCGCCAAGACACGGCGTTGGTGACGGTGGGGGGCACCCGCGACTTCCCGGTCTCCAGCTTGTTGCCCTGTTGCGTGATGTACCTGGCAGGTGGGCAGTGAGGACAAGCAGCTGGACCCAGGACCACCTCCCTGGGCCTCCCTGAGTTCCGACCGCGCGTTGGTCCAGCCCGTGGCCGCCCCGTGGCCCACTCACTCCTGCAGGATCTTGCTGTCCGTGGTCTGCGGGAAACCGAAGTCCATGAGCTCATCCAGAAGCTCGTAGACAATGACGAAGTTGTCTCGGATGCTCTCTTCCTCCAGCTCCTTGAAGTATTCGCAGAACACCTGGGGAGGGCGAGACACACCCCACAGAGGCGTGGCTATGGCCAGAGGGGTCTCCACCCATTGGGCCAGCAACCACCAATCATTGGGCACGCCTGCAGGCCTGGGCTGGGCCGGCAATCCTGAACAAAGCAGGTTCCCAGCGCTGCTGGCGTGGTGGTGAAGTGCTAGGCTTCCACATGTACAACCATGGTTCGAGTCCTGGACCCGATGATTGAAAAATCATGCTGGGCATGTGTGTGTGTGTGTGCCCAAAATACCGAGGGTGGGGCTGTCAGGTGGCATAATTTTAAGGGGCTGGACTTCCACATGGCCAAACTCAGTTTGAGTCCCAGACCTGGCAGCTTGCTTTCTCACTTTTCCTTTCTGTCTGTCTATCCTCGGTCAAATTGTAAAATAATAATAATAATAGGGGCCAGCAGGTGGTGTGGTGGTTAAGGGTGCTAGACTCCAACATGGCTGACTGCGGTTTGAGTCCTGGACCTGCAGCTTGCTCGCACTCTCTCTCTCTGTGTGCATCTCTGGTCAAATTAAAACAAACAAATAAATTTTTTAAATTATTTTTTAATTTGACTAGACAGAGACAGAGACAGAGAGGGAAAGCAAGAAAGCAAGCCACCACCAGGTCTGCAACTTGAACCATGGTCAGCCATGTGGGAGTCTAGCACCCAGTAAAATAATTCTTTAAAAAATGGGACCAGTTAGCATAATGGCTATGTTTTTGGACTCCCATGTAGTTGACCACAGTTCGAGTCCTGGACCTGGTGGCTTAAACTCACACTGGGCATGTGTACGTGCGTGCCCAAGATCCTGAGAGGAGAATGCAGACGGGATTGCAGCGTGGCCATGGGATTTGGACTGGATTGAACATGGTTGACTGCAGTTTGAATCCCAGCCCTGGCAGTTTGAAACACCTGCTGGGTATGTGTGCATGCATGCAAACCCCAAATCCCAGCAGGGTGGGAAAATGGAGGAGGGATTGCGGCAGGATCACAACCCAAGGGGTTGCTTTCTGCCTCTCTTTACTCGTGTCTTTCTCTGACAAGGCCCCTGCCCCTCTGGCAACTAAAAAAAAAAAAAAAAAAAATTCACTAAGAACCTTCTTAGTCATCAGAAATGGGATATAATAAGTGTTCAACAGAGCATCATTATGTGATTATTAGAACTCTCACTAACAGTAACAATAAATGATGAGGACCAGCAGGTGGCATGGTGGTTAAGGCACTGGACTCCTATAGGGCCGACCACAGTTCGAGTCCCAGACCTGACTGCTTGCCTTCTCACTTTCTCTGCTGAGTGCACATGCTCTATAGCTAATTTAAAAATAAAAATAATAACTAATTAAGTAAAATCGTAAATAACTCCTTAAGAAGATAGTCAATGCTGGGGCCAGCAGGGGGCGTGGTGGCTGGGGCAGCTGACTCCCACATGGCTGACCATGTTACAGCTTGCTTTCCCACTTGCGACCAGCAGGTGGCGTGGTGGTTAAGGTGCTGGACACTCCCACATGGCTGATCATGGTTCGAGTCCCATACCTGGCTTGCTTTCTCACTTTCCCTCTTTCTCTCTCTCTCTGTGTATGTCCATCTCTATCTGGTCAAGTTAAAATAAATGAATGAATAAATAAAATAAATAATTCTTTAACAAAGAAAACAGTAAATGTGGGACCAGCAGGTGGGTGTAGTGGTTGAGGTGCTGGCCTCCCATGTGGCCAACTGCTGTTCAAGCCCTGGATCCAGAGGCTTGAAACTCACACCAGGTGTGAGCGTGTGTGTAGCCAAAATCCTGAGAAGAGAATGGCGGAGAAGGGATTGCAGCATGACTGTCCCCTGGGGGGTGATTCTCACTGTCTGTCTCTCTCAGTCTTTGTCCCTCTCTGCAGCGAGTGTCCTGTAGCAAAACTAAAGATGAAACAGGAGTCTACAATGAGCTCCATTAAACTCACACAAACGCAGTTCTGGGCACTTGAACAAACAAAAAGGGGGCGGGGTAAGTATTTCAGGCAGATCACTCCCGCAGGGAATGAGCACATGACCCCAGGTGCAAGTGCGAGGGGAGAGGTGAAGTGACTGCTTCCTCATTCTTCCGTGCCTTCTGTGGTGTGAACACCTCGCCTTGCTGAGGACCGGGTCTGGGACGCGAACCGCGGTCGACTATGTGGGAGTCCAGCGACATAGCCATTGCGCTAACTGCTGGTTCCCTAAATTATTTTAACTTTATTATTGTTATTATTATTATTTTAGTTTGATCAGGCAGAGAGAGAGGGAAAGTGAGAGAGCAAGCCAGCAGGGCCAAGACGTGAACTGTGCTTGGCCATGTGGGAATCCAGCGCCCTTAACCACCATGCCACCTGCTGGTCCCTCATTCATTTATTTTAATTTGACCAGAGAGTGACACATACAGGGAGAGAGAGGGAAAGTGAGAGAGCAAGCCAGCAGGGCCAAGACGTGAACTGTGCTTGGCCATGTGGGAATCCAGAGAACTTAACCACCACGCCACCTGCTGGTCCCAGGCACTGTACAGTTATTCATTTGATTCCTTTACACAACCACCCCGTAAGTGCCATAGGCATAGGAAGACGTGACTTGTTCAAGGCCACGCAGACAGAAACAGGGGAGCTGGGAGGAGGTCTCAGTCCTTCTGGCTCGGATCTGACCCGCCCACTCTGAGACCCCCTGATCCCCTACAGGGAACAATGATCTCACGAGCCTCCACGGAGACGCAGAGATGAGATTCAGCCAAGGGATGCACAGGGAGCTTTCAAACCAGGGACGTCCCGAAGGAAGTGAAGAAAGGTTCCTGATAAGGTTGGAGAGGGGCTCCCGAAACAGGCATGCCAGACAGGTGGACGGACAGCCCAGCCGGCCAATGGGAGGCCGGCACCTACCTCCACCGTCTTGTAGAGGAAGGAGTACACCAGGGAGGCGTTGGCGTTCTTCAGCGTGGTGGCCACCACTGGTGGCGGCGAGGTTAAGGAAAAGGTGCCATTTAGGGGGCGACTCAGTGATACACAGACCCTGAACCCTCCACCCTGTTCCCTACCACCCGCCATCTCTACCCACCACCCCTCACCCAGCCACGATGGCTGTGCTGTGCCACTTCTGTCCTCGGCGCACCCTCTCTGGGCCTGAGTGGCCATCCCTCTCTCTCCTGGGCTGGATACAGTAGAGGTTGCTGTGTTTGATCCACAGGAAGTGGACCCGGCCGTGGCTCAGCAGCGGGGCGAGGGCGCCCTCCTCCTCGCGCTGCATCAGCAGCGGCATGAAGTGGTCGATCTCGCTCATGGGCACGTCGCCCTTGTAATTGCGGCTGATCAGGGGCTGGGGTGGGAGTGGAGAAGACGCGGTCACTGCCAGCATCCGGGAAGGGAACTCGCCATCCCAGGGCACCTGAGTGCCCAAGTCCTTTTTTTTTTTTTTTTTTGTATAAGGCACAAGTATTCACCAGAGAAACAGAGAGAAAGAAACAGAGACAGACAAAGAGACAGAGAAAGAGAGAAATCACCCCCCCGGGGGAAGTGGGCACGCCGCAATCCCTTCTCCTCTATTCTACCTTCTGGGATTTGGGCACGCACACACATGTGCCCGGCGTGAGTTTCAAGTCACTGGGTCCGGGACTCAAACCATGGTAGACCATGTGGGAGTCCAGCAGCATAACTGTTACACCATCTGCTGGCCTTGAATTATGCACTTTTTTTTTTTTAAAGAGATTTTGCTAAAAGGTATGAATGCTCTCAGGAGAGATAGACAGAAAACGAGAAATCGCCCCTTAGTGAGAGTGACCACACTGCAATCCTTCTTCTCTATTTTCCTCTCAGGAGTTCGAGTCCTGGACTTGGTGGCTTGCTTTCTCTCTCTCTCTCTCTCTTATCAAATTAAAATAAATGAATGAATAAATAAAATTAAATAAATAATTCTATTAAAAAAAAAAACCACCCACAAAAAACAGGCTGTACTAACAGCCCAATAGAGCCTCACTGAGCCCCAAACCTTAAAGGCGGGTTGTGGGCCAGCAGGTGGCATAGAGGTTAAAGACACTGGATCCCATATGGCTGACTTCGCTGTTCGAGTCCCGGACCTGATGGCTTGAAAATCATACCAGGGGCATGCTCAGAGTCCTGCGAAGAGGATGGAGGGGAAAGGATTGTGGCATGGCCAACCCCCGGGGAGGTGAGTTCTCACTTTCCCTCTCCTTGTCTCCATCTCTCTGGCCTCCTGCAGGCATTCACATTCTATGGCGAACTAGAAAAAAATAATAGACTGATAGTTTGATGTGACAGGTCGTGGCATGGTGGTTGGGGCAGCTGAATCCCACATGGCCAACTGCATGGTTCAAGTCCCATACCTGGTGCCTTAGGGAACACACAGGTGCTTGTGCGTGAGTGCACAAAATCTCGAAAGGAGAACGAGATGGAGAAGGATTTGCAGTGTGGCCATCCCCCGTGGCGGGGGGAGGTCAGGCGGTACTTTCTTGCTGGCTCTCTCTCTCTCTCTCTCTCTCAAGCCAGTGCATGTGCACTTCGGCAAATTAAAAAATATATAAAGAAAGGGAGACCAGCCGGTGGCATAACGGTTATGTCGCCAGAATCTCACATGGCATGTGTGTGTGTGTGTCCCCAAAATCCTGAGAGGAGAATGGAGGAGAAGGGATTCTGGCATGCCATCCCTCCTCCAGGGGGTGATTTCTCATTTTCTGTCTCTTTGTTTCTTTGGTGAGTGCACGCACCCAATAGCAAAACTCTCTGAAAAAATTAAAAACATATGAAGAAAAGAAGGAATAAAGAAAGGAGGAAAGAAAAGGGGGGGGGCGGTAGGTGGTGTGGTGGTTAAGGGTGCTGGACTCCCACATGGCTGACTACAGTTCGAGTCCTGGACCTGGCAGCTTGCTTTCTCATTTTCTCTCTCTCCCTCTTCTGGTCAAATTAAAATAAATAAATAAATAGTAAAGTTTTAAAAAAGAAGACGAAAGGGAGACAAAGAAAAAAGACCAGCACACGTGCCTTATGACTAGCAAACTGAAAATAATAATGACGATGATAATAAATAGTAACAAGCCAGACAACGGGTCCCTAGGAAGGGACATTTCCAAAGGGGGGTTAGGGCCTCCTGGCGGGCTGTCAGTCTTTCCCAGACATTCATTCTGTGACGCTGGTGGTGAGGGACACAATTTCGGTTTACTGAACGCCTCCTTTTTGCAGCAGGGTGGCTGTGCTAATTAGTTTACACACGAGGAGTTGTATTCATTTTCTTTGGGTGTAGACCTCTGTTATTTCCCGTTTTACATTCGGGGAAACTGAGGCTCAGAAGGACAGATACTACCCCCAGGGACCCGGCCCCTAATTGGAGGAAGCGGGATTAGACGGGATTCTCAAGGATGGGGGGTCCCCACTCCCCGGGGCCTCCCTGCCCTGCGCCAGGCGGGGACTACCCCTCCCTCCCGGAGCGCGGCCCCACCTGTCGGCCCGGCCCGTGGCTCCCAGCCTCACCTTGCCCTTGACGTCGAGAATAAAGACGGCCGAGGCGGACATGGTGGCGGCCGGAGGACCGAGGAGGCGGGGAGGGGACGCCAGGAGGGGACGACGGCGCCGCTTCCTTCTTCCTGCGGAAGCGCCCGCGCCCAGGTGAGCGTCCAGGTGAGCGCGTCTTAAAGGGGAGGCACCAGGTGAGCGGCGCGGTCGGCGGACTGGGCGGGGCGACTGCGGAGGGGACAGCTGAGGCGCCTCGCTTTCCCCTGGCACCCGGGAGAGCGGAGGGGCCGAGGTCCCAGACCCACCGTCCACCCACCCATGCATTCATTCACCCACCCTTCCGTTCATTCATTCACCCGCCCGTGCACTCATCATCCGTCCATCCATCCATCCATGCATTCATTAACCCACCCGTCCATCATCCATCCACCCATCTCTCTATCCATCCATTCATATATCCACTCATTCATTCATCTATCCATTCATGTAGCCATCCGGCCATTCATCCATTCATCCATCCGGTCATCCCTCATTCATGTATCCATCTACCCATTCATGTATTCAATCATTCAGGCATCATCCATTCATATAGCCTTCCATCCAGCCAACTATCCATCCACTCATCCATCCAACCATTCATCCACCCATCTATCCATTCATTCATACATTCATTCATGGATTCATTCAGGCATCCATCCATCTGGGCCTCCATTCATCCAGCCAATTATCCACTCATCCATCCATCCATCGATTCATTCAAGCATCTATCCATCTAGGGATCTATCCATCCCTCCATTCATCCATTCATCCATTTACCCATCCATCCATTGTTTCAGACATCCATCCACCTAGGCATCTATCCATTCATCCACTCATCCATCCATCCATCAATTCATTCAAGCATCCATCCATCTAGGGATCTGTCCATCCCTCCATTCATCCATTCATCCATTCATCCATTTACCCATCCATCCATTGTTTCAGACATCCATCCACCTAGGCATCTATCCATTCATCCACTCATCCACTTATCCATCCATCCATCAATTCATTCAAGCATCCATCCATCTAGGGATCTAGCCATCCATTCATTCATCCACCCATCCATCCACCCATTCATCCACCCATAGATCCATTCATTCATCCACCCATTCATCTACCCACTCATCCACCCATCCATCCACCCACTCATCCACCCATAGATCCATTCATTCATCCACCCATCCATCCACCCACTCATCCACCCATAGATCCATTCATTCATCCACCCATTCATCCAACCACTCATCCACCCATAGATCCATTCATTCATTCACCCACCCATTTATCTTGTTCATCCTCACATCTCACATGCCCAGTAGGAAAGGACTTTATTTTGCTCATGTCTGGGTCCCAGAGCCCGGCATGGAGTGTTCAATATTTGTTCAATTCATCTCTTCTTCATTCATTCGTACACTAAATTTTACTAATTAATTTCTTCTTTCACTCAAAACTCGTTTCACTCAGTGACAGGAATTGTGGATAATAATACCCAGAGCTGTTTTTACGATATTCTTATTCTTCTCATTGATTCATTCTTTCGTTCCAAAAATATTAATTAAGCCCCTATTGTTTGACATCGAGTTGTTGATAGAATGTTGACAAGATAAATGGGCACTTATACATGACTATAATTATTATGATATAATAATATTATTATAACAAATTATTCACTGGGACCAGCAGATGGCGTAGCAGTTGCATTGCTGGACTCCTACATGGCCAACCATGATTCAAGTCTCAGACCTAGGGGGTTCAAAAATATGCTGGGGGGACCAGCAGTTGGCATAATGGCTATGTTGCTGGACTCCCATGTAGTTGACCATGGTTCAAGTCCCGGACCCGGAGGATTAAATTCATGCTAGGCATGTGTGCGTGCGTACCCAGGATCCCAAGAAGAGAATGGAGGACCATTCATCCATCCGGTCATCCCTCATTCATGTATCCATCTACCCATTCATGTATTCAATCATTCAGGCATCATCCATTCATATAGCCTTCCATCCAGCCAACTATCCATCCACTCATCCATCCAACCATTCATCCACCCATCTATCCATTCATTCATACATTCATTCATGGATTCATTCAGGCATCCATCCATCTGGGCCTCCATTCATCCAGCCAATTATCCACTCATCCATCCATCCATCGATTCATTCAAGCATCTATCCATCTAGGGATCTATCCATCCCTCCATTCATCCATTCATCCATTCATCCATTTACCCATCCATCCATTGTTTCAGACATCCATCCACCTAGGCATCTATCCATTCATCCACTCATCCACTCATCCATCCATCCATCAATTCATTCAAGCATCCATCCATCTAGGGATCTGTCCATCCCTCCATTCATCCATTCATCCATTCATCCATTTACCCATCCATCCATTGTTTCAGACATCCATCCACCTAGGCATCTATCCATTCATCCACTCATCCACTTATCCATCCATCCATCAATTCATTCAAGCATCCATCCATCTAGGGATCTAGCCATCCATTCATTCATCCACCCATCCATCCACCCATTCATCCACCCATAGATCCATTCATTCATCCACCCATTCATCTACCCACTCATCCACCCATGATCCATTCATTCATCCACCCATCCATCCACCCACTCATCCACCCATAGATCCATTCATTCATCCACCCATTCATCCAACCACTCATCCACCCATAGATCCATTCATTCATTCACCCACCCATTTATCTTGTTCATCCTCACATCTCACATGCCCAGTAGGAAAGGACTTTATTTTGCTCATGTCTGGGTCCCAGAGCCCGGCATGGAGTGTTCAATATTTGTTCAATTCATCTCTTCTTCATTCATTCGTACACTAAATTTTACTAATTAATTTCTTCTTTCACTCAAAACTCGTTTCACTCAGTGACAGAAATTGTGGATAATAATACCCAGAGCTGTTTTTACGATATTCTTATTCTTCTCATTGATTCATTCTTTCGTTCCAAAAATATTAATTAAGCCCCTATTGTTTGACATCGAGTTGTTGATAGAATGTTGACAAGATAAATGGGCACTTATACATGACTATAATTATTATGATATAATAATATTATTATAACAAATTATTCACTGGGACCAGCAGATGGCGTAGCAGTTGCATTGCTGGACTCCTACATGGCCAACCATGATTCAAGTCTCAGACCTAGGGGGTTCAAAAATATGCTGGGGGGACCAGCAGTTGGCATAATGGCTATGTTGCTGGACTCCCATGTAGTTGACCATGGTTCAAGTCCCGGACCCGGAGGATTAAATTCATGCTAGGCATGTGTGCATGCGTACCCAGGATCCCAAGAAGAGAATGGAGGAGAAGGGATTGCAGCGTAGCCATCCCCCTTGCGGGGTGATTTCTAGCTTTCTGTCTGTCTGTCTTTCTGTCTCTCTCTGTCTTTCTGGCAACTGCATGCACCCTATAGCAAAAACCTCTCAAAAACAAAAGAATTATTTTATTTAACTTTATTTATTTATTTATTTAAATTTGACCAGAGAGGGACAGAGTGAGAGAGAGGGAAAGTGAGAAAGGAAGCTACCAGGTCTGAGACTCACACCACGGTCAGCCACGTGGAAGTCCAACACCCTTAAGTACCACACTACCTGCCGGCCCCAGAAAGGTTATTTTCCTTATTCAATGGGGAAACTGAGGCTCAGAGAGGGTAAGTGACAAGCACAGACTCACCCAGCCAGAAGTGACAGGCCCAGGAGTCCAGCTTTGCAAAACCCAAGATTTTACGCTGTTTCCACCCGAGGAGGCGAGGTCCTTGGTGTTCCTGCCAGTGCCCTGCCCAGAGAAAAGTGAGCCAGGAAGATATAGGAGACCCCGCCCAGCCTGGCCATCACTGAACCTGGGAAGAACCCCTCTCCTGGAGCTCTGAGATGTTTTCAGGCAGTAAACGGAGCCCAGTAGCCTGGGCCCAGTGCCCTGGAATCTGAAACGCAAGGCCTGCTTGGCTGAAAAATTCATGAGCCCAAAAGCTTTCATGGGGTCAGGGAACACAGTGGCTTTGTGTGTCCTGACTCTGCCCGGCCTGCCCGCCTTAGGGGCCACCTCTCCCACCCCCCAGAGGCTGCAGCCTTACCCCAGGTTCGCCTAGATACCTGCAGCTTCCCTGAAGGCCCCTCCCTCTGGACCCACTCTCAGTCCCCTCTGACCACAAAAGAAATCTCTGCAATTCACAGGTCCAGGGCCCTCCCTCACCCTCACTTCTCCCATGGCTCCCTATTGCCCTGGGGATTCTACCTCACACAGTCAGACCGCTAGGGACCTCTGTCCCAGGGTGCCTCTGCTCCAGAGGTACTGACTTTCCTAACTTCAGCTCTTCTCTCTCTCTCTTTCTCTCTCTCCTGGAACTTGGCCCTTCAATGCAGAATGCCTGCCCCTGCTACTTTTTTTTTTTTTTTTTAAAGAATTTTATTAGGGGAACCAGCAGTTAGCGTAATGGCTATGTCGCTGGACTCCCACGTAGTCGACCACGGTTCACGTCCTGGACCCGATGGCTTAAACTCACACCGGGTGCATGTGCATGCGTGCCCAAGATCCCGAGAGGAGAATGGAGGAGAAGGGACTGCGGTGTGGCCATCCCCCCTGGGGGGTGATTTCTCGCTTTCCGTCTGTCTTTCTCTGTCTTTCTGGCGAGCACACGCACCCTGTAGCAAAAACCTCTCAAAAAAAAAAAAAAAGAAAGAAAGAAAAGAAAAGAAAGAAAGAAATGGATAAATGAATGAATAAAATTAAATAAATAATTGTATATATATATTTTTTTAAAAAACAAGACTTATTTTACTTTGGGGGCTGGTAGATGGCGCGGTGGTTAAGGGCACTGGACTCCCTCATGGCCAATCACGGTTTGAGTTCCAGACCTTGTGACTTGCTTTCTCGCTTTCCCTTTCCCTCTCTCTCTCTTTCACTCTGATCGAATTCAAGTAAATAAAGTTTGTTATTTTCCAATTAGACCAGAGAGAGACAGAGAGAGAAAGAGAAAGCAAGAAAGCAAGCCACCAGATTTGGGACTCGAATCGCGGTCGGCCATGTGGGAGTCCAGTGCCCTTAACCACTACGGCCACCTGCCAGGTCCCAATCCCTGTGACATTGTTTGTGCTGAGCTCATGGGGCTGCTCTCCGGGAAGCCCTCTCAGTCCCCCCACCCATGTCTAAGAGCATTCCTCCTCTGCGCTAGGCTGGTACCCTGTGCATTCCCCCTAATGCAACTGTGTTTCCATGTTTTGTTTTGTTTTTTTGTTACCCTGTGCCACCGCCTGGCCCCTTCTTTCTTTCTTTCTTGACTTATTTTGACAGAGGTGGGACCAGCACATGGTGTGGTGGTTGAGGCGCTGGACTCCTACATGGCTGACCCTGGTTCGAGTCCTGCACCTGGTGGCTTGCTTTCTAACTTTCTCTCTCTCCCTCTCTCTCTCTGGTGCATGCGTGTACAAATTAAAAATCATACTGGGGATCAGTGAGTAGCATAGTGGTTAAGGTGCTGGACACTCCCACATGGCCAACCATGGTTCAAGTCCTGGAGCTGGTGGCTGGCTTTCTCATTTTCTCTCTCTCTGTTTCTCTGTGTGTCTCTCTCTGGTCAAATTAAAAAAAGAAAAAAGAGAGAGAGAGAGAATAAATAAATAAATTTAAATAAATAATTTTTAAAAAAGTAATTATACTAATAAATAAAATGATTCTTTTATTTTAAAACACATTTTCGGGCCAGCAGTTGGTATAATGGCTATGTCACTGGACTCCCATGTAGTCAACCTCAGTTCAACTACCAGACCCGGTGGTTTAACCTCATGCCAGGCACATGTGCATGTGTGCCCAAGATCCCAAGAGGAGAATGGAGGAGAAGGGATTACGGCGTGGCCATCCCCCCCGGGGAGGGTGATTTCTCACTTTCTGTCTCTCTGTCTCTCTCCTTCTTTCTTGCCAGAAAAAGGACTCGAACCATGGTCAGCCATGTGGGATTGTCCAGCGTCTTAATCAACATGTCCCCTGTTGGTCCCCAATAAGTAATACTTTTTATCTTTTTTTTTTTTTTTTTTTGGAGAGGTTTTTGCTATAGGGCGCATGCGCTCGCCAGCCAGACAGAGACAGAGAGACAGAAAGCAAGAAACCTCTCAAAACAAACAAAAAATGCTTAAACAGCTTCACAGGACTATGTGACGGTAGGTAAATGGATTAATCACTCTGAGACACTTTCTCCAAAAGATCTTATAAAGATTTAATATAAGCCACATAATACCTTGTCTGAGGCTGAGTAAGCATTTGTTAATAAACACTCTTGCTGCAACCTGCAGGGCCACCCTCCTTTCTTAAACTATTTTGAAAGTTTCCATTTTGAAGTGTAACATATTAAGAAAATTTAGAAGGCAAGTATTTGCAAAATGAACCCAGTTGTGTAACCACAATTGTTTCTAGTCCTCCCCCGCATCTATTTGGGACTGCCAGGCAGTATGCTTCGAAAGGTAACTGCAGATCCATGCTCTGTTATCATAGTTGATTAGTTATGTCTATTATAGACCTTTATAGAAAAAGTGGCCCGATTACTGAGCATAACTGGTTTGTTTTTGAGATTCACTCATGCTGATGCATATAGTGACAATTCATCCCCCCTCCTTTTTTTTGGAGAGGTTTTTGCTATAGGGCACATGTGCTCACCAGAAAGACAGAGAGAGACAGAGAGACAGAAAGTGAGAAATCGCCCCCAGGGGGGATGGCCACACCGCAATCCTTTCTCCTCCATTCTCCTCTCGGGATCTTGGGCATGCACACACACGTGCCTGGCATGAGTTTAAGCCACCGGGTCCAGGACTTGAACCATGATCGACTACATGGGAGTCCAGCGACATAGCCATTACGATAACTGCTGGTCTCATTCTCTTTCGTACAACAAATTCTCAAATAGTTACAATCTGATGAAAAATGGCATTTTCTGATGTCTTCACTCGCACGCAGTGGGCACTCGATAATCATAGTTAATGATGGGGCCAGCAGGTGGCGCGGTGGTTAAGGACACTCCCATATGGGTGACCAGGGTTCAAGTCCAGAACCTGGTGCCACCTGGTGCCTTGTTTTCTCACTTGCCCTCTCTCTCATCAAATTAGAATAAATAAAATTTGATTCATAATTTAAAGAAAATTTCATAATCTAGTTGATGGATAAACCAATTGAATGAATGCAAACAGACCTCTCTTCTCTGTGGGCAGAGAGGGTCTTTGGATGGCCGCGACTGGAAACAAAGGTGGAAGCTCCACCCCTTTCCACCAGACCCCGCCCCCAAGCCCCGCCTCCTCCCGCTCGAGGTTCCCATTGGACGGGGCGCGCGGGGGCTGGCCGGGCGGGGCGGGGCCCGGGCCCGGGGCGGGGCGCTGCAGCCCGCGGGCCGCCTCTGGCCGGGCGCCGCCTGTGCTGAGTTGGGGGGTGGACCTTGCAGGAGGAGGCTCGCTCAGCTCTTGGACACTCGCGCGGGAGCCGCAGGCCGGCTTTGCGCTCGGGCCCCATCGCTGCGCGGAGCCCATGCGCCCTGCTCCAGCCGGGTCGCCCCTAATCTTCTGCCAGGAGCCTCAGCTCCCCCTCCGGCTGATGGGCCGGGACGCACGGCGCATGCTCCGGCTGGGGAGGTCCCGTTATCTGGGTGGCTCAGATAGCGAGCGGGGGAGGGGAGGCGCGGCGAGCGGGGTTCTGCAAAGGGACAGGGCCCCGACCTCCCCAAACCCCACTCCTCTTCCAGACTCCCTTTGTCCACTTCTTCTGACGCACATCCTTCCCTAGAAGTAAACATCCCGGGCTTTTGGTCACATAGGTAAACTGAGGCAAGACTGGGTGGAGAGAAAGCTGGGGTGAAACCCCACCAGATCTGCCTGGCAGCCTCGGA